ACAAACAATCAATTGTTATTATTTTAAATAAAGCTAAATGGAGGAAACAAAAGAGTAGAGCTTGTGAATAAATTCACTTAAGTAGAAACCCAAGTAGAAGGTATCTATCTAGTGATGGTACATATTTGCTTTAAAAGGCGTTTCATATCTAAAGATTGTGAATGGGCACATATGTGTAGTATTCAGAAAAAATGTAGAGGAACTAAATGGAAATATGGTATCAAAATATCTTAAAATTAAGATTCCTCACTTGCTTTGCTTGCTGAGTACATTAATGCATATTCATAGGCTCTCAACTTTTATTTATTCACTGCTGCTTATGTGGTTGCTCTGGAGACTTCCAGACAAGCTATACATGACTTTGCAGCTGTAGTTTTTAATACTGCCAATATATTTTTCCATCTGCCCTAGCAAAATTTGAATGACAGCCAATTCCATTTTCGAAATGCTTTGCCAATGCACTCCCCCCCTCATTTTAGTAAATCATCGTGATTCTCGCAGAAAGTGTCATGGGGAAAGGAAGAGTGTCTCTGCTCTGTTTCTATCCTGCCTGCAGATAGCTTCTGTGAGAATGTTTGACTGATGAGTAATTATTCCTGCTCCCCTTTTGGAACATTCTGCCCAAGATACCTCCTTCATTCATTCCCTGTTGACAATGGGCATGACTGTATCCAAGGCCTTTGCAGTATGCCATTGTTCCAGTTGTTTCTTTTTTTGTTTGTTTGTTTGTTGATGTTAAAATATTAAAGTTACAGAATCTTGAAAATACTAGAAGTCTGGGTGAACAAATATGACTTAATGGTGGCAGCTTAGATTCAAAGGCAGACTTGATTACTAGTTTTTTTATGGGGGAACAGACAATGAAGATGAGTTGCCTGTGGGATTCCTGAAGGCATATGCCCAGAGCCTGGAAGAGTTAAATCAGGGGTGTCATTTCCAGAAAGCCCAGATCAGTATGTCGCTACAGTCTAGTCCAAAAAGAGCAACTGCTTTAAGCTCTGCATACGAATGGCCAGTGCTCAAAGGATGATGTTCTATTAGACAGACACTTGATGTGAGCCAGTAGAGATATTATCCTCTGAACATCAACAGTTTTGCAAGCCAAGCAACTTTAGCGTCTTCCATATTTTCCAAAACTGAATTGAAGCCAATTGACAATAATACTGAATCACCAGCTTCCATTAAATCAGTTGTGCCAAAACAGGCATAAGACGCAATGCCCAAGAAATAGACACTATTCGTCACCATACCAATCTGGCATGCATAACGATATTTCTTTTTTCATGGTTGAGCAAGGTGGCAGGAAGTGATGGCTGAGGCATTGTATATTTCCTACTGTGAGAATTTCAGTCGCTGCCAAATGAGTTCTGTAGCAAAAGTGAATGATAAGCATGTTGTATGAAGGGCTCATTCCTAGCATGGAAGCCTCGTTTCAAAAAGTGCATCTTCAGATTTAGTACCAAAAATAAGAAAGATGTGGTGTTGTTAGAGGTTTCCATGGGGACAAGATTTGTCTCCTAATAAAAACATGCAGAGGCAGAAAGAAAAAGTGTGGCTGAGAAGCCCCACAGTAGCTTCATTCAGCCCATTCAGCAGTCTTTCTCTGACATGGCAAAAAAGAGGTCAGGAGTATTTACTTCTGTTTTTGTCTTCTGTGAAAGCAGTCACTAGTTCTTATGGGCAAACCTCCAAAGCTCCAGGGAAGTCCACCCAACCTAGCTGGCTTTGCAGCTGATGTGCTTTTGCTTTCTGGACAGCATACATTTAGATTCAATTTCAACCATGTATATGGATGTGAATAGGCCTAGGGTGCAGAGAACTTGATAACTCTTTGTCTTTGTGTGTGTGTGTCTGTGTGTGTGTGTGTGTGTTCCATCACATCACTGAAGCCTGATAGACCGGATTGCCCACAGACTACTTAGAAAGCTTTTTTTTCTAAATGTCACTTTTGTAAAAAGAGCGGCCCAAGCATTAGATAGAAGCAAAATAAACAAAATGCTTAATTAACCCAAGAGATGCATTGAGGTGGGATGCTGATGTTGCCACTAGCAGAAAGTACTAGATTAATTCATGGATTCTCCATCAGTGGATTTTTTTTCCATGCAGAATGAATAGCAGGAGATGGGTATTGCCATTTTGTCCTACTTGTAAGCTTCCCTTAGGCACATGTCCACTACTAGGGACATAATGTTGAACCAGATGGCGTGTCTCAGCATGACAATTTGTCACTTAGGTTAAACTTCTCATCCTCAATATCTGCTCCTTCACATTGGGGTTAACAGTGATCTGCAGGAAGTAAAAATTGCACAGTGCTGTTTTTATTGGAATATTTTATGCACTACTACACAAGAAATAAGTTTTGCTTGTTTACAGCATGCATATGCAATAATATTGTGTTTAAAATAGTGAAGAATGTGCAGCAAATCTCATCAGATTTGGCCAACATAGCCAGGGATGAGGGATAATAGGAGCTGCTATTCAGCAATGTTTGTAGGACAAGTAAATTAAAATCTCTTTGCTGATGCTGAGAAGAAATGGTGCTATATTTTTTTCAGAGTGAAAATACTAATGCATGTAGAAAACCTTATAACTTTGTAGGTCTTTCTGTCCTGTGTTGAGTCAACAGAGTTCCAAACTCCATGGGCTTAAATCCAGTTGTCAGTCCCAACTGGAGTAGATACATTGGCCAAAATCCTGTTGACTAGCATAGTAAATCATAGTATATCCATTTGAATCAATGGGATTTTTGGAAGAGTGGACTCGTCAAATCCTCATTGATTCACTGAGCCTAATCTAGTTATATTTACTATGCTAAGCAACAGGATTTCAGCCATTAAATCAATTGCTCAATAGTAAGTCAAGATTCGTTTACATCCCACTGCTTCAGCAGGTCTATTCTATTTGGAACTTGCAGCTGATTTTAGGCCATGGATTAAATTTTTTTTTATTTTGTATTTGATTGCTAGTTGATTGTAATAAGCAGTTGAATAATCCTGTATAAGAACAAATTCTTACACTCCGAATAGGATGTTAATTGACTATTGTACAAAGGTTTATATTATGTCAGGGCATCCATTTGTTTGGATTAGTCAAGAGAAGAGTTATAACCTACAGAACTGCTATACAGTATTCCCAGAGGCATATACACTGTCACTTCATAGCTGCACTCATTTTGTGCTGCTGAGAGATGGTGAAATAGTTTGTGATGCCATAGCCTCAGTCAAAATGCAAGCAACCTTGGGATAATAACCTTGGTGTTGCTCACATGGAAAAATTCATCCATTTGAACTGGAAGAATGAGTAAAAATAGCTCAGTGAGTCAAATAACTTCCTTCATCTTGGCCAGCACAGACATCCAGAATAACAATACTAATGCTGAAGAGTTATGTAATAACTTGGAAACACAATAAGAAAACAAATATGTTGTGAAGTATCAAGTAACAATATCCACAGACATTTAACATAGGTACATGCATGAGGTGTGAAGCAGAACCACAGTTGGTGAATTTCATGAATGTCCAGATGTACACATATACAGTAGGTTCCAGGCAGACATTTGGCTGGATGTGTGCAGCCCAGTCAGACACCTCTTGAATGTTTGCTGTATGTGGTTTGAAAGCCTCCATAAGGCTTATACCTAGAGACATCATGTTTACACATTGGGAAAACTGAGGCCATTTCTTCTAGACAGCTAATATATTGAGATTTGGAAATGCTGTTTCAAGCTATTTGGTAACAAGATTTTGTAATACTTCATTGTTCTTTATAGGATAATAAGTGGAAAGCATTGTCCATGGCTAGGAAACTGGAATAACAGATGTTTCTACTTTTTAATATGAATTGTATGAAACACAACCCCTCAGTGAAAATGGTGGGTTTCACCTCAGTGATGCAGCGCTGTCTGAAAAAATAGTTTCTTCAGTCATCAATAACAGGGCACAGTCTGTATCTCTCATGCTGAAATATGGGCATACAACAGCTGTTGACCATAGGTGCAGACAGAGCTGGGCAAAAGCAAGATGCTGACACACCAGATGAGACAGATAGGCAGGCAGGCAGGCAGGCAGGCAGGCAGGCAGGCAGGCATATAACCTGGTGTGTTAGCATCTTGCCCAAAGTGGTCTATATGGATCCCCAGGGGTTGATTTTGACTTGCATGGGGTCCACGTCAGAGAAAAACATTTGGGGGTGCAAGTTTAGACTTGTATCAAAACTTTGCAGGGGGGGTCTACAGAGTGTTAGCATCTTGCCCAAAGTGGTCTATATGGACCCCCAGGAGTTGAGTTGGACTTGCAGGGGTCCACGTCAGAGAGAAAAATGTGGGGGTGCAAGTTTAGACTTGTATCAAAACTTTGCAGGGGGGGTCTACAGAAAACAAATATGTTGGCAAGTGGTCTATGGGGCAAAAAAGTTTGGGAACCTATGCTTTAGACTGAAGAATCTTTGAGCTCTCAGATGGTTTGGACTAGCATAGCCTCTTACTATCAGCTGTGATGAGTATGACAAACCAAAATATCTGGATCTCCAAAGGTTTCCTACACCTGCTCTACTCCATTTATTTAGCTTCACCATCCCATTTTGTTAACACTCGCAGTGAGGCAGTTATCAACAGATTGACTTTGCCACAGAAAAACCATGTTTTATTCTGCAGTTTTAAAAGGTGCTCAAGAGATGGAACTTGACCATTGTTTTCACATTTTGACATAGTCTCCTTTTTTAATTATTATTTTTCATTTTTTTTCTTGTCCTCTTTTTTGCTGTTATCCAAGGTCAGGTGAAGCTAAAAGGCTTTCAAACAGTATTTCTTAACTGTAGTCTGACTGCTCTGAACCAGACACTGTCAGGATGTGATGCATCTTTATGATCAAAGAGACTTCAGACCATAGAACACTGCATCTGTTTAATTTTATAACACCAGCAGGTCAAAAATTGGCAGGGAAAACTTTTTCTTCTGCTTCTGTTTTATAAGTTGATGTGTCTGTGTGTTTTGTTTCTTTTAGGCTGTACTGTGGCGGTACAAGTTTTCCCAGCTTAAAGGGTCTTCAGATGATGGCAAGAGCAAAATCAAATTTTTGTTCCAAAATCCAGATACTAAGCAAATTGAAGCAAAGGTAAAAGCAATAAATCAATCTTTTTCTTCCCTTGCCAAAAGGAAATTACAACAAGAAACAGTCTACAGTTTGTATAATATTTCAGATTGTTGTGCTTAAACATAACAAGATGGATGCCTTATTTTATCTGAGAATTATTTTAAAAGAAAAAAAGCAAGCACCCTAAGGAAGAGCTACACTAAAAAAGCTACATTGCCAAGGCTCAAATAATACTTACATTAAACTGATGGATAAATTAATTCATGCATTACAGCCTAGCCATTCATGCATTACAGGCTAGCAAGCCATTGAATCTTGGGATAAAGAGCTCTCCAAGTGTGGAAACATCCCTGATCTGTTTAAGCTTTCTGTTTTATCTTTTTTTAAATTAATAGATTTTATTACAGAATGCATGAGTGGTCCTAAGACCAGATAGGCAGGATATAAAATAAATAAATAAATAAATAAAATGAATAATATAATAAAGAACCATAAGAACTGTCATCTGGCACAATTTTAAAAAATAACAAATAGCAATATATAGATATATCTGTATGGTCATAAGGAGGTCTGGATATCTAGTGCCTTAAAAGAACAGTTCTGTAGTTCAAGACTTTGGGGTTGGCTTCCTGTTTCATTGAACAGTACAGCAAAGACCTATGATGATTATTAGAGTGTTTGATTACAAGACTAATAGAGTTCTTTTTTAAAAAGAACCATACAATGAAAGCAAATCAGTCATTTAAAACTATGGCCACTGAGGTGGGATAGAATAGATTACATTATCTAAAAGATGCCTAGTTCATTATAAAATAAACAGATCTTAACACTCAAATAAACACATTAGAAAATGAAAGGGAAGATTAGGCAAAAAGCTACTAGCATCACATAAATACAGTAGTGCCTCGCTTTACGATCACTCTGTTTAACAATGAAACCGCATTACGATGAACATTTTGCGGTTGCTTTACGGTGTTTCCTATGGGGGAATTTCACTTTGTGATGATCAGTTCCCTGCTTCGGGAAACGATTATTTGCAAAACGCTGATTTTCTAACAGCTGATTGGCGGTTTCAAAATGGCCACTGGGTAAACAAAATGGCTCCCTGCTGTTTGCTAGGATGGATTCCTCACTGCACAGGCAGCGAAAATGGCCGCCCTATGGAGGATCTTCGCTGGACGGTGAGTTTCTAGTCCACCAGAAAGCATTAAACGCGTTTTAATGTGTTTCTATGGGCTTTTAAATTTCGCTTTACGACGTTTTCGTTCTACAGCGATTTTGCTGGAACAAATTAACGTCGTAATGCGAGGCACCACTGTATGACAATAAATAGGGAGATGGCTCAGTTTAAGCTCACACGCCACTCAGCAGAACCATTCACAGTTATTTTACTTTGACTTCTAACTAAAGATGGGGGCATTTGTATATGAATATGAATACCCCCGCAAAAAAGGACATGACGAGGATCCAGCCCCCTGGGGCCGGACTCTCCACTCACTTTCCACTGTTGCTGCAGGCTCCGTGTTCCATTCCTATCGCTCCAGAGCTCATAGTCTGCAAACCACTCCTGGCAGGAGGCGGGAGGACAAGCCTCACTGCCAGGTCAAAGAGTGCCTCGCAGACCACAAAATTGCCAGCCTCTGGTCTACTCCCCTCCATCCTGCAGTGGCCAGCCTGATGCTTCTGGGGACACCAACATGTAGACAACAGTTCTCAATTATTGGTGTGGTCCTTAAGCAATGAGCTTTCATAGGTTCCCTGTAGCCATCAGGGTTTATAGAAAAAAATAGACGTATCTCCCATGGATGTGACTTACTTCTCTTTTAACTGTTTTAGATAGTGGCCCAGATCCAATGCTCTGTTGATGAATTCCATGAATTATGTGTTGTGATTAGAAACAAGGTCTTGTTTTTCTGATCTGAATCTACTGATAATCAAGTTCACTACTTGGTCTTTAATTCTAATATTATGAGAGGTGGATTTAAATCCGACTGCTTTCTCCAGGCAAATATATAATTATACCAACTACTACCACAAGTCCCCTCTCAGTCATCTCTTTCTCAACCAAAAATATCCCTTTGTTGTAATGTAACCTTTTGTTGTAGGGGAAGTATTCCAATTCCCTTTGCTATGTCCAGCTTGATTATATCTTTTTAAGATTATTTTATGGTGTCCTTTCTTTAATTGTGCAGTGAAAATGATACATAACGCAGTTCTCCAAATTCTTTGTTATGCTGCTTAATTTTCTGTTATAAAAATATAGTGCTTATAAAGGCTTGCAGACTCATAAAGAGGTGTAAGCAATATCCCCTCCATTATTGAGAACTGTAACATTTGAGTTTGGCTATAGGTTTTGGTGTGGAAGAAGGAGGGCATCCTTGTCTTATCCCTAAACTTGGAACTGTTTTGGGTGAGGAGGTTAATTTGCTTTCCATATAGCAAATAATTCATGAGGAGTAAAGAAGTGATCATTGTTGATAGTGGTGGATATCAGGAGCCGGATTGAAGAGTAAGAAGAGTAGGATATCATAAAAGCCAACACTGCTTCAAAAGCATAAATAATAACAATGGGAAGTTTGGAGTCGGGAAGAAATGTGCAGTTATATATGTATGTGGATATACAGGTAATATTGTAAAGTAATATGTATCAAAATGAAGATTGGTGTTGACTTTGTATAATGTTAACCCAAGTTTTGTAGTTTCCCTTGTTATGAAGAAACATTTTTATTATTATTACTTTTCTGTGGCAGCGCATGAAATGAGATGCCTCGAAAGTGGGAGCAGCTCGCATGCCCCTCTTTAAAGGATATCTAAAATTATGCAAATTCTCCCTCTCAAAGTTACTTAGGAATATAAACAGAGAAAGTGAAATGTATGCATCTACTCCTTCTTCTCCCTCATGACACATGAGATGACTAAATGTGAGTCACAAATAAGTTAACTTTTGACATATTATATTGATCCCATATAACACATTGGTGTGCAGATCTGATCTCTGCTAAAGAGGTTGGTATGTGTCTGAGCTGCACACAAAAAAGCATATTGAAGTATTTTACATTTCCCGAAAGACCTTACCTTATACAAGACAAAGTTTCTGTTCAGCTTACATTAAACATGCATGTTTGTTCTGCATCGGGGAACTCAAGAGTTAGTTGATATTTAGTTGAAGGTGTTACATACTTATACAGTAGCTGTAACTTGATGCCAAACATTTCAAGGGCTGTGTAGTGCTCTTTCTTTCTTGTTAAGATGCCTTTTGACAGAAAAAAAAAAATCCAGATCCTAACAGATGAGAAATCTGTGCTTTTAAATATGTGTATGTTTGACTCATGTGGTGATTTTACATTGTAAATAGATCTTGTATAGGTTTATATTGGCATTCATTGTAAGTCACTAGGGTTTGACTGTTGTACGTTGGATGTATGCCAGGAATAACAGTTGACAGGTGTAGAAGAATGTTTGTGAATAGTACTATAAGTTTATTGGTTAGGCAGGTACTCTTTTGCATGTAATTTTGTGTGTATGTGTGTGTGTGTGTGTGTGTGTGTGTGTGTGCGTGTGAAAAAGAGAGAGAAAGAGAGTGAGAGTTGGATAGATTTCATTTTCAGCTGAATGTAGGAAGAGCTGTGTGTTAATTAAGATTAATTCTATTGTTTAGAGCTGAGTGTTATTTGCCATGGTGAAGAAACTGAAAAAACTGGGTTTTTTACATAACAAGTATCCATCTACACACACATATACAGGCATTATGGAACTGGTAGTGTTTTGAAAGGAACTCTGTATGAAGCCTAACAGGCAGGGAGGCCAAGTGTCCCATAATGCCTTGCAGTTCCTATGGAGTTCAGCCTTTCTCAGCAACTTGTCCTAGCAACTCCTATAAGCACTTATATTTTTTGGCAAACAGTTCCAAGAATTCTGTAGTTTAAAAAAAATTGAAAGTCCAGTGCCTAATCAAGTTAAGATTTATGTGCTTAGTTTATGTGCAAAATCTTTTAGACAATGTGAATGTTTATGGAATTATATACTCTAATTAAGTACGACCAAAATTCTGTTGTATAGTCATGCCAACAAAAGGGAAATGATGTAACACCATAGCAGAAAATTGCTGCTAATTAATGAGTCACTGCTTGGATTCCTCATGTTCACTAGTCAGGTGGTTTAGCAAGCAAACTGGAATCCAAGGTAGGCACATTAATTAACTACAATTTGTTGCTGCAAGTTACACCATTTGTTTCTGCTGGCATGACTATTTAACAAAATGCTGTCCTATACCTGCTGTCCATTGTTGAAGTGGAATAAGCTATTTTTTTTAATGATAGTGTGTGATGTCAGTGCAGAAAGAACAAGAGCTGAAATTCAACATTATGGTAACACCCAGTTGGTAGTGCAGTAAAACATTCTTGCCCTCCCTTTCCAGTACCTTTCCACACAGAGACCTTCTTCAGAGGGTTTTACAGCTCTCCAAAGCATCTTTCAAGCAACCACTAACAGCACAGGGGAGAGGGGATTGCCCTGCTCAACTGTTATTATTTTTTTACTTTTACTTGCCACTCCCTTTCCCAGTTCTATTATAATACTTTGCCTCCATGCTACCTTGAGTTAGCTTGCGGTATCCATTGTTACAAATTTCTATTATAAAATCATCACATTCAGCTTACGAATTTGAGTATGAATTGTCGAAAAGCTTTCTAAATTGGTTGCCCTCCAGATGTTTTGATTACAGTTCCCCAACTAAGATAGCTGCTAGTAAGCAGTAGTGGGAGTTGGACCTGAAATCATTTGGAAGGCACCGCATCGGGGAAGGCACCCAAAGGTCGAAATACTGTTTAAGACAAATTAGCAAATTTTGTCTATCCATGATTTAAGGAATTTGTCTGACCATGATTTAAGTAAGACTTTCTTGGTTTGTTTCTACACCACTGTACTTAGATGTGTTGTATGATGATGAAGGAACAGCTGTTTCTCTCACATATTTTTTTTCTCTTTCAGGAGCTGGAATTTTCCAATCTGTTTGCAGTCCTCCATTGTATTCATTCCTTCTTTGCTGCCAAAGTGGCATGTCTGGACCCATTATATGTCAGCAGTCAAGCCACAACTATTCCTGCTGCTGCTGCTGCTCCTGGTGCTGCTTTTGCTGCTTCCGCTGCTACTACTTCTACTGCTGCTGCAACCGCTGCTGCTACCATTGCTACAAATTCTGGCAGTAGCAAATTAAAGTATACGACTTGATATCTCCCATTTCTACATTTGCCACTTTCCAGGAGAATATAAGAGTGTGCATATATGTTCACCAGACTAGGTCTATGGAGAACAGGAAGCATGAAAACCAGCTCAAGAGACAAGTGGCAGTTATCAGCAAATTGTGGTCACATGGAATCATATTTTACATCTCAACTTTATAAGACATCAGTAGGCAATCAAAGCAGAAATCCCTAAAATGGGTGATCACATTATGACTGTGCTTTGAATGACAATGGAAGTGAAGGAAACTAAAGAAAACCAGTGAAACAACACTACACCTAAGTGTTTAATACAATTTTCCTGTCTCCATGATAATAGACGGAGAACTGTCCTTTTCTTGTTTCCAGATGTTTTTATGACAACTTATTGTGCTCTGGATTTGAAATAGCATCCTCTTGTTAGACTACAATTGAAGTAAGGACAACTAAGAGGCATACAGCATGTAGCAACAAGGAGGTGACAATGGAAAGATGCTACTGTATCTCCTTAGAAAAGAAAGCACCTTAAGTACTGTTGCAAATCCATATTTATGTCCCTTCAACCTAGAATCATGCTCAGTTTTAATTCTGCTTTTCCCCCATTGTTGTAGTAAGAAAATTATAGCCATATTAGTCCAACTGTTCTTTTTTTAGAGGAAATATAAGCGTAACAAAGCCATCTACTCTTAATAGCCTATAATTCTTAAGCTGGTTAGACCTTGTTCTCACATCAGATAAAGTAGGGATATTCTACCATTTTCAGACTGCAGTGGAGGCTCTCAAAATTCATGGCTTCTCCCTCAGTAAGTTACTCCATCAGTAAATCAATCAACTGATCAGTTCCTAGAAATAGAAATGTGAATGGGGAATTACATGTTCACATTGGACAGTGGCAGTATAAATTCATTCACCACCACCACCATGTCTGCTTTTTCTGCGTGTGAATGTTTTTCTAAAGAAAAAAAATCACCTGCAGTTTGAAGGAGTAACATCTTGCCGTATTGAGTCATCTCCTGTTTTATTCTGGAGTAGTTTCATTAATCTAATAGAATTACACAGAAGTAGCAGCTTGAGGATCATGGTCTCAAATCCACAAAAACATTTTATTTCTAGATAAAGATTCTCCATTTTTAGTGAAAATTTGTTAAAAGCCAAAATGTTTTTTTAATTGTGATTTAAAATTTAAAAAATAATATTACAACTGTTTAATAATCAGGCAAGATCTAATGTTAGGGTCATCTCCTGGAACTCTGCCATCAAGTTAACTAAAGGGGAGGATGCGCCCTGTGACTTGCTCTACCGCAAAGCCTCAAAATCTGCTGTGGAAGCCGGGGGAGCCCTCCATGGTACAGACAGAGAGGTGGAAGAGATTGGAAAGGAAATCTATCACAAATACAAAACCTTCAGTTTTATAGAGAAGTGTCTTTTAATCTACCAGTCTTTGTTCTCAGATCTGAAATATATTTTGTTACAGGCACAATAAAGGTTGCTCAAGCATTAATTTTTTAAAATCTGATTTTCATATTCCCAACAGGAAATCAAGGTATTGGACTAATTTACTTGTTCTATTTAACAACACAACTATAAGAAATGACCTTTCATAAAGCAAGTTTCATTTCAAGTTCAGTGAAAGATCTTCCCCACCACAATTTATACAGTAAAACCTGGAACGTATCTTAGTGCAATATTGTGAATTATAAAACTAGCCCATAAAGCAAGTCCACAATCCATTTTAAGATATTTTTAATAGGAGACAGCAAGAGCCCCTTTTGACAGTGCACATGCATTCATTCTTGTATGTTCCATACATGCATCGCCCTTTTCTTTGTGTCTTGGGAAACCTGAGATAATTAGACCTCTCTGACATTCAGAAAAAAGTCACAGTGCACTTGTATGCAGGTGGCTCTTTTCAGATAATGCAGTGAAAGTATGACTGTTGGGAGAGCTTGCAAATGCCACTGCAGTACAGCCCTTTCTGTATGCCCTGACTGGCCATGTGTAAAATGTGTATAAGAGGTAAAAAAAATAACACATCTTTTTTACAAAGTCCATTTTATGATAAATGTAGGGATGAAACTTTAAGTTTTGATTTTTACTTGCATAGCTATATGTCAATATAACACTGATCATGTTCTAGAGAGCCATTCTATCTCTTTCTTGGAAAAGCTTTGGTTTTTGCTGATCAAAATCCAGTGCACAGGTATGAACGCATACGTCAGATTGAAATCAACAAAGCTAGGTGTGCTCAGATTGTTCTTTATGGTTCTTAAACATAGAAGTGTACGGAAAAATTTAAGATCTTTTGGTGGCACAGAAGGTCGTCTATATTTGGTGTACTTTCCTCTCTACTTGTCATATGTCCTGGAAGAAGCTCAGCTATAACATTTTTTAAGGAAATAAACATGTAAATATTTTAAAATCTCAGGGCTAAATCCAACTCTTAGTCCTCATTAGATTAGATCCATTGAATCAATGGGATTGATATAAGTGTTGATTTATCAAGTTCCTGTTGATGATTCAGTGGGTCTACTGTAGTTAGATCCAACTAAAAAGTGGGTGTAGGCCCCAGCATCTCAATACGCACCCTGGAACAAACACACAGGAGCTCTCCAGATTAATGTATGTATGAGTGTAGATGGAGAAACATCATTAATATTTGTTTCAGTACTGAAAATGGAATGAATCAATGCTATCCTGTGTTTTGAGGGTGGAAACCCAATATATATAAGCAACACAAACAAATTATATTATAGGATGATTCCTGCTTGACCAAATATGAATTATTTTTATTTGCTAATTATTTTTAGTTGTGGTTAAATGGTTTGCATGAAGCGGAAGAAGATGTTCTAGTGGTTAAGACAGAAAGAACATTATTTTTTTAATAACTAGCTGCATTAGTCTGGGCAAGCAGATCAGACAAAACACACACACACACACATAAATGATCTCGCTCCCTTTTTGACTTTGATGGTCACCCGCCCAAATTGGGAACTCGTCCTATCACGATACTACTCCATGCAGATGATGCAGCCATCATTTCCCGGACTCATCTAGGCCACTGGTTCTTAACCTTGGGTTACTCAGGAGTTTTGGACTGCAACTCCCAGAAGCCTTCACCACCAACTGTGCTGGCTGGGGTTTCTGGGAGTTGCAGTTCAAAAACATCTGAGTAACAAAGGTTAAGAACCACTGATCTAGGCCTAAAACGCTTGATTAATGGATGTGCAGAGTATCTGAGCAAAAATAAAATGCAATTAAATTATAATAAATCAAAAATACTGGGTTTTGCCAAAACATTGAAACAATTTCAATGGAACCTAAATGGAAATCACATAGAACAGGTTAAACAGTATAAATACTTAGGTGTTCTTTTTCATTATAAACACTCTTGGGTCCACCATAAAAAAATAGCTATAAACACAGTTAGGATCCCTACTCAATTTATTCTGTGTTTTTACTATAATTCAGGCAATCGGTTTGTCCCAGCAGCATTACAAGTTTTCAAGTCCAAATTATTCCACAAGCCCTCTATGGTTTCCCAATTTGGGCAAATTCTATGGATCGATTGAACAGCTACAATTCTCCTTCTTACGCAAAGTGTTAGGGCTACCTAGATGTGTGCCCTACTTGGTACTCTGTCTGGAGTCCGGAGTATCTTTAATACAGACTGTAGTTTGGCTGAGATCATTCACATTTTGTTTATCTATTACAATTCAGACGTAGTTTATTCTGCAACACTCTGTCCCACCTTTTGGGTCAATGGTCCTCTTGAAAAAATTGAAATTAATTGGTATAGATAGCGATTGCCTTGGAGCTCTAAGTCAAGAGCTAGGTTTCCAAATTATTAAAAGAAGAATTTTGGATACTGAATTCCAGGACCTTTGCAGTGCTGCCAATTCTGTTCACCATTGTTTTTCCATATTCCTTCTAAAATTGGTAAACCTGCTGCCTACTTTTCCTTGCTCAAATGCCTCCCAAAATATAGGGCTTTTTCTTTGGCCAGATGCAAGCTGTAAAATCTTGAGCATTACTGTACTTGCATGGGAAATTATTTATTTATTTATTTATTTATTTATTTAATTCATTTAACTTATATGCTGCCCACACTACCCGAAGGTCTCTGGGCGGCTTACAGCATTTAAAATACAATAAAAAGGCAAAATAAAAGGGCAAAATAATTAAATGCAATTAAAATATGAATTCTAAAAATTGCCATCAGACCCACAGCTGATATTATTTCAGTTAAAATTCTTCTGCAACAGGAAGGTTTTGACCTGGCGCTGAAATGTCATCAGCGTTGGCACCAAACGAATCTCAATCGGGAGGGCATTCCATAATCTGGGGGCAGCTGCTGAAAAGACCCTTTCTCTACAAGCCCTCCCTCTTATCTCCTTGAGGGACGGCTCTTTCAAAATGGCCCCCTGGCTAGATCTTAACTGCCAGGTAGGTTCATATGGAAGGAGGCAGTCCTTCAGGTATCCAGGGCTCAAGCCATTTAGGGCTTTATATGAGATGACTGACATTGTAGAAAAAGTAACAGACTTCCTTGATATTATTGTTAGAAGATGAACTGTTGTCCCTTTAAGCATGTCTAACACTTTTCTGCCCTCTTGATGCCTATATATGTAGTTACCTAACAAGCCACCGTGGCTATGTCCAATTTTTTACTTACGCCAATAAAGGTTTTATCATTCACACAAATTAAAAAAAAATCCCACAAGAGACAGAAACCTTAAAGATTAACTGATATATGTTAATGTGAGGTTTCGTGGATCAGGTCCAAAAGAAAGTGGACTTGATCTATGAAGGCTCATATTAAAATATGTCAGTCTTTAAAGTGCCATAACATTTTTGTCTCTTAGCTCTTTGTTTTTGTTTTGTAATTCTCTCAAAGAATTATATTCTTGATTATATTTGAAGCTTCATAGAGTGGTCATAGGAACCCAGGTTTAAATTGGGATAGGTTCCAGAAAATAGTATTTAATTCTTCACTTCAAAGAACTTCTCCCACACCCAATCACAAACTGCCTGAGGGAAACTACCTGATATCATTGCAGGGAGATTTTTTTAAAAATATAATGGCTAGAAGCCAATCAAGGTATTATGCCAGCATAAGTCCATCAGCATACATTTCAGTGGCAAATTGCAGATATTTAAGAAGTCAGTATCTGCATGTATTATTGTGTGCCAAGTCACAGAACTGGAGGGAGACACCAAAAGGAAACAGCAATTTTTTAGCTATGATTTGCCACTGAGATTTGCACTGGTGGACTTAGCCAATGGATATAGATAATGGGATCTGAGTCAGCAAGGATAGCTTTCTTTTAGGTCTCAGGTAACTTGTAACCAAATTGTTTACAAATACAATTAATATATAAATTTAATTTCATGAATCCAGCATACTGTTGTGTACAATTACAGGTTTTACCATTTTGAGAGCATGGTGTAAGATTGATTAATTGGCCAAGTCTGCTTATCTGAATTCCCTAAAGCCAAATGTAATAATATTCCAACTTATTTCATTTATTTTAGAGGGCCTCTTGTGAACATTTGTCACCAAAGATATCTGAACTGCTGCCATTAGAACCGAGAGTTGAAAACAATGATTTCAATAGGAATAATGACAAGTACAGCTCTCAACATGATTGCTCTTTCTTTTTATACAGTTAAGAATAGTTAACTCCATAGTTCACTTTGTAGTTGAAGAGAGGATTAATATTCATTCATGGAAATTATCATGACTGTGCCTTAAAAATATCAGTCTTTGCATGCTACGCAATTACAGTAATCCCCGTGCTACTGATTTCCCATGGTACCAACTATTGTAACTGTGTAGGCCTTACTTTCTCTTAAATTCAAAATTGTGAAGGCAAAAGCAAGGTTCTTGAAATTATGCTGTGTTAGGCTATAAAATGGCATTAATTACAAGTAGATACAGTATTTCATTGAGAGACAATTCATAAAGTAATATTACCCACACAATATTGCCTGGGATTGATAGAACTGGCTTATTTGTACCTGCTTTTGGAAAGCAATTTGAGGTATGAAAAACCTATCCATGACACTGAATGAAATGCTATGACAGAATTATGAGAGTATTCTGCTTTCCTATATTGCTTATACCATCTGCCCACATTATCTTAATAGACAACTAATGTGATGTTTAACAAAACACATATTTTGTCAGTGATGGTTGTGTGCATATGTCATCTTTATAGATATAGAGAATGCTGTAGGTGCATTTGGATAGATGGTAGGTTTCTATGTATTCATGTGTAGCAGGGAGAGAGGAAAAGTAGTGGGTCCTATGTTGCAGATTTCAGAACCCTGAAACTTAAATGTGAATGATGTTTCATGAGACTGCAACATTATAATGGATTACACATAATGACAACATGCAGCATGAATACATTGTCACTATTATTGTGTGGAAATAATGGCGGGGGTGAGCTGATGTCTTTCCTGTGTAATGGAGATTATAAAACTGAAATAATCAGTAGAAATTGCAGATGAAAACCAATGTTGGGGCCCAATCAGTTCAGCATATGAAACTAATGCATCTCTGACTTGTGGGGATGGAGGAAATTTGCATATTATTTTATAACAACTTTCCTTGCTGCTTCACATTGAATCCCCTCCATCCTCTGCTCAAGAGTGAGAAAGAGCAAGGAAATGAAATGATTGTGATGGGAAGGGCATGGAAGGATCTGGTCAGCCATGGTGTCTTTGTCAACTTTGGATTCCAGCATAACTTAATAGTTCTTTCATGGAAAATAATTGCTTAAACGTGCAATGGGAATTATTTTCTTGTACAGTCTTTGGGAGAAATGGAGTTGGTGAGAATATGTCTGCCACATTTATCATAGAAATATATGTTCTCTGAAGTTTTGAAGCTTCATTGTAAAATAATTATTGTAATACAATAACATAAAGCCCATTAATTTTTGATTCATACATAGTGAAACATTTCATTATAATAATTATTTATTGTAATGCAATAATATTGTATACAATAATAATTATTGTAATAAAATGTTTCACTATGTATGAATCAAAAATTTAATTAACCTAATGAACAGAACTATAGCCCCTTTTAAACTTTTCAAAGCTACTCATAATCAGTAGGGTCATGGGTGTTTTTTTAAACAAAACTCAAAGAAGTGAAAGGAATCATGTTTAAATATAAATTAATAATGATGAGAGGAGCCAGACTAGCAGTTTCCAAATGTTATCGAAATAACCCCAGTCTTAGTCCAAAAGTGACTTTCCCAAGGCCTGACATACAGAACCTTGGATAAACACCTGTGGAAGCATTCCATTTTAGAATTTAAGTCTTTTCCCCAAAATGTATCTTTTTAAAAGATACAAGATCCTATCCTTAGCAAAAGACATGCTGCTAGCTCTGCCTCCAGTTGTCCACATCCTTTTGGTTATGTGTATCAGTGGACTGGCTGCTTGCATGTAGGATTCTGTGTGATTAGGATATCTAATTTTACTGATATCCCAGTCACATGGAAGCCTAAACACAAGCAACTGTTTTCACACAAATGCTTCTTCACTGCAGATTATGAATTTTATTCATGGGTGTCTATGATAACCACATGATGCCCATTTATGTGAATATTATAGACAATTGGCCCAAGACAGTCAGCTTGTGGTGAGCAATATATGAGACCCTGCCTAAATCAAGGTGCATGGCACTCAAGTCAAGTAATTTTAACACCTGAGGCAGAAAACACCATCTCACGCCTCTTCTCTGATGATGATGATGATGATGAAACCTATCCATTTTAAAGACATGACTCCTAATTTTTATGCTTGACTATTGTGTATGCCCCTTGCACTGGCAATGCTGAGAAACAGGAACTATAGTACTACTAGCAGTGATGATGATGATGATGATGATGATGATGATGATGATGATGATGATACAAGCATAAAAATAACTTCCCCCCCAACACTCCAAATGGTGTACCATTCTCCCTCTCTTTAACGATAGGTCTGTAATTGGTAATATGAGAAGGAGGCTAAAATCGTGCCCAGATGTATTT